TCGCGCTGGAGCACGCCTGACGCCTGGGCGCGCACCGTCCCCATGCGGGTGCATGCCATCGTTTGCTCTCTGCTGGATCCTTCGTACGGGGAGCGTGTCCGCTGAGGCCGCTGCGCCTCCGAAGGCCTGAGCTCGCCACAGCCCCTGATGACGATGATGGCGATGATTAGGTGCTGATGATGAGAATGACGCTGATGATGGTGATGATAGTGGTGATGACGGTGGTGGTGATGGTGGTGAAGAGGATGATGATGATCCTGCTATTCATGACAAGAGGCGTCTACACACGATTGGTACTTGCCGCGGTGATATTGCAGTTCGGCGTCGCCGCCCCCCCACCGAAGAGTAAACGTGTTCGTGTCCGGGATAATCATGACCAAGCGGTGAATGGGAGGATAGGCTTCATTGTCTGGTGCATGGACCGCCGCCCACGGGGCTCCGAGCCGCCCTCCGCGTCCGCGCGGGCGCCGACGGCGGTCCCAGCCTGGCGGGGAGCGGGATGCGATACGTCCCTGTGTGAGCAGGGGGCCGTTTGCACCTTCAATGCAGCCAGGCCCAAGGGCAGGGGAAGGAGGAAGAGGAGGAGGAGAGAGCTGACGCTTCCGGCTCGCGCCCGCGGCCTGCCGAAGACAAGGAAGAGGAGGAGAAGGAGGACGAGGAGGAGGAGGGGGGGGGAGGAGGAGGAGGAGGACGGAGGAGGAGAGGACGAATAATAAGGAAAAAGGAATAGAGGAGGAAGCGGAGGGAGGAGGGAGGAGGAAGACAGGAGGGGAAGCATGGGAAAGTGGCTCCCAAACGAACCCATGTGACTGCATCGAATTGACGGCAACTACGTCCTGACGACGTGCGCGCTGGTTTCGGACACCACGGGGGACGCTAAACCTTGAACAGTCGTTTCGTTCGAAGTCTCCCGATTCCAGTTCTCCGGCGACGTGCCACCTCGAACGCCCGCACTAGAGTCGCCGCAGCGTCGATACGACACGAATATACTGACACACCACCACCGTGCCTGGCCAGGGCCACCCTGTGCGGTGGCATGGTGCACAACAAGAATGGCAATCAATCGCGCAAAACTGGCATAGACACGGTGAGTCACGTCGAGGTCCAAAAGTACCGAGGTCAAGCAAATGCAGCTTAGACGACGACACGGTGACCGCGGAGGAACGAGCTGGGGATCACCTGCTCCTGTTCGGAAATGGTCATGGTGGCTACTCAGGAGCAGTCTTGCATGAGCGAAGGACGTCGGCACCGCCACCAGCATCACGAGGAGCGAGGGAGGGCATTCCTGGTGGAGTGCTCCCCGATTGTTGCGGCGTCCCGCTCAAGACATCTCCAAATTCCAACCCCTGCCGGGGGCACGGTGGACCTCCTCGCCAGAGGTGGCTCGCTTGTGATGGTGTGTGTCGCTTCTCCCCTTCCTCTCCCTCCCCTCCCCTCCCCTTCTGCTGTCCTCTTCCTCCTTTGGCCGCGGGGCGACCTTCTCGAGCTGGATAAAAGTGTGTCGCTTCTCCCCCCTCCAACTTCCTCCGACCCTGAGGACAAGGGCTTGCCCCTGCGCCCCCCTGGCAGGCAAGGGTGAGAGTCGAAGTGGCCGGCCTGCTCCTCGTCGCTGTCGGAGTCCCCCAGCTTGTCGAAGCGCGAGTAGTCGATGCCCGGCATGTGCCGAGCGCGACAAAGAGGGGCGAGGGGCAACCAAAAGGGGGGCTAGCTGAGGGGGCGAGCGATACCGGACCTGAGATCGGAGAAGCATCGCCGATCAACGGGCGATAGGCCCTCGATACCGATGAAAGGGCGATTGGGGGTCGCTGCTTCTCCCCCGTGGGCCGGTCCTCCCCCCCGTCGCTGCCCCACGAGGCACCGCGGTGGGGCCGCGCCGCGAGGGGAAGCGGGATGTGGAAGGCGGGGTGGGGGCAGTCGGCAGGTCCACGTCGCGATAGCGTCGGCGTCGGGTGCTAGCACCGCGCGGGTCGCTCAACCTTGGACGATCGCAGCTCCCCGAAAGCGCGCATCGTGCAAGGATCGGGGGAGACGAGATGGGAAGGTGGGGGTGGGGGGGGGGCCGAGGGAGGGCACGCCGGGTCCGAACCGTGAGACGACTCCGGCGTTGGTCTCTGCCTCCGAGGGGATCGCCGCTTTCCGAGAGCGCAGATCCTTCGAGACCGCGGCTTCGGCTTTGGACGATCGCGGCTTTCCGATAGCGTGGACCATTGGATGTCGGCCGATGCCGGGCCACCAGCGGCGTTCCACCTGGAACGCCCGTGCTGGGGTCGCGGCCGCGTCAACGCGCTGCGAACCTGCCCTCGAGGAGGGGAAGGGTTGGTGGAAGGCAATCGTGCTCGAGGAAAGCTAAGGAGCAACGAGGCCTTCGATCTGAGGTCAACGCGTTTTGTTAGAATTGGCGCGCATGCTCTGCGTCGTCTTCCCAATCAGAGTCAGCGCCGGTGTGGCGTAGCCACGGTCGCGTGCCATCGAAATGGCCTTGAGAAACGTTTGCCTTGATGAGGTATGTGATCTCGAGCAGCATCCAATGTTTCATTAGTCTGCGCTAACGCTGAGTCTGCGGTTGAGAGGGAGTGGAAAGACAAGGAGAAAAGGAACCCAAATACATTACACCTGAGAAAATCCCAATCAATGGATGATTTGGAAATTAATCATATGGATCTTGAGATCGATTGTGAGATCGATAACGGAATCGATAGAGGACGATTGTAAGGTAGATCGTGAGACCGAGTGAAACCGATTCAATGAGATCGATAGGGAGATCGATCGCGAGATCGGTCGTGCGATCTCTAGTGAGATCGCTTGCGAGATCGATTGTGAGATCGATGGTTAGATCGATCCGATAGAGAGGTGGGACATGAGATCGATGCTGAGACCGATCGATAAGAAAATCGACCAACAACTCGGGAACCTGGGAACCTCGCCGCCCACCGAAATCGGCCCGGGAACCGGGAACCCGGGAACCCGGAACCGGGAACCGGGGAACCCAGCGTGCGACGAACATCGGCGGGAAACTTTCGCCAAACCCTTCAACCTCCGCTAGGACCCCTTCAATGCAAGCACTGATTGGGGAAAGAAGGAGCGGAAAGAGTGGAAGGAAAAAACGAGGGAAAAGAAGGATGAGAAGGAGGAGAGGGTCCACACTGACCGCAAAGAGCGGACCGCGCATGCTGGCCGCCAGCAGTACGACGACTGCAATACATCGGGGATCTCTGAGGAATGGCGGCTTTGAAGTCAGGAGGCAACTCCGGGGAGGTGTTCACAGGAAAAACAAAAAATGCTCTGACCGCCTCTGGGCAACTCAACTGGATTAGCCTCATGCGAGAGGAAACAACATTATGCCGGATTCGAGTATTCGGCCACGGGGAGCTGAACACGCGTGTCGCGTGCGATACGTTCGCCGGGGGAAAACACATCTAGGAATTCGAAGGGGTAATGGGTAAGCAACCGAACGCGCCGATGACGGAACGCGCGCGTAGCGTCGCGACCCGCGAGCTGGGGAAAGTAACAAGGAGGAGTGTGGTGAGTGGGTTGGCCTCGCCACCCCCAGAACCAATCGCCCAAGGGTTAGCCATGTCCTGCCACACACGGTTCAAGTCAGCCCCAAAAGCGCCTCAGAGTGCACCCCAAGACGGCCCATCACAGCACCAAGAGCGCCCAAGATACCTCGAAGACGGCCTCAGGGAGGCCCAAGAGGACCCCAAGATGGCCCAAGAGCGCTCGAAGAGGGCCCAAGATGGTCTCAAGACGGCAAAAGAGGTCCTCAAAACTCTCCAGGTGGTCTCCGGACGCCCAATAGGTAAACATCGTCTCCGCCCTGTCGGAACACCCAACTGTTTAGCATCTCCATTCATTTTTGTGACAGCGTCCACGATGGCCCGAGAGGCCCCCAGAATCGCCACAGGACGGCACACGAGGCCCCCAAGCCGGCTCCAAGACGGCCCAAGAGGGCTCCAAGACGGCCCAAGCGAGCCCCAACACGGCCCAAGCGAGGCTCCTGAGTGTCCCAGACGGTTCCCAAGAGAGCTTCAAGTGGGCTACAGAAGTCCCCTAACTGGCTGAGAGAGAACCCCGAGGCTGCCCAAGCCTCCCAAGACGGCACAAGATGGGCCCAAGACGACCCACGAGCCCACGAGAGCCCCAAGACGGCCCAAAGGATCCGCAAAAAAACGCCCAAGAAGCCTTAGTGAAGACATCCCCCTCCGTCGGACTAGCTGTGGATAGGTATGTAGGTAGATGGATGTAGTAGTGCAGCATAGCAGTAGATAGCAGTATAATGCAGGAGAGAGCAGGGTAGTGTTGCATCGATTCATTGCTTATCTTCCACAGCCCCTTTCGGCGAAAAAGCATTTTCATGGTAGCGAGTGTAGGCGGCTCGCACGCGCCTGGCGGCGCGCGATGAATGCCTAGCAAGAGAGTCACCAGAGGAGCCTCCCGACGCCGCGACCGCGAGGTGCGCGGCCACCACCGCCGCTCGCTGGGCGGCGCACCTGGGCTTCGGCTGGCTGCGGGTAGCTCCGCGCCGAGCCGTGGTCCGGAGAGGGAGGAGCCGGCGGCGGAAGCGGGCAGCCCCGCTCCGCGCCCAGTGCTCCTCAAGGCACGGTCGAAGGCTGCGGGTAGACCCGCGCCTTCCCGTGAGCAGGCCGGGCACCGCGGCCCGGAAGAACCTCCGGCGCGGCGCAGGAGGCGCCGGCGCGGGAGGCGAGAGGGGGCTGAGGAGGCTGAGGGATCGCCAGACGACCCACCAGCCGCACTTGAGGCGAGGGAGAAGGGCTTCCTCGAGGTGAAGATCGAGCAGATCTTCTTTCGCCGTAGGAACGTGTCGCCGGGTGGCGTGCGTCCACGAACAGAAGGAGGGGACGCGCGAAGTCCGTCGGAGGCGGCTGGGCAGCCGGAGACGGTCGGGAAGCGCGCCGGGGCCAACCAAGAGCCCCCACAGCATCTCTCGGCAGCGGGGAGCTCCGCGCTGAGGGAGGTGAAGCAGGAAAGGGGCGAGAGCCATGGAGCAGCAGCTTCAGCAACTGGCAGCGGAGCTCAGGCAGCTCCGGCAGGAGAACGCGCAGCTGGCAGACACGGTGAGGGTGCAGCAGCAGACGCTGGAGGCGATCCAGCAGCGCCCCGCCGCAGGACCAGGAGGAGGCGCGGCAGCAGCAGCAGCAGCAGCAGCAGCAGCGGGAACACTTTCCAATGAGGTCGTGGAGAGACTCATTCGTGCTCTTGACGAGCAGACGCGCACCTTCGCTGCCAGGAGCCGGCCGAGCCTGGTTGACAGCAAGGGCGTCGGCAGACCAGCTGCTTTCAACAACGACGAAGCTCGATTCCCAGAGTGGGCCAAGAAGACAGAGGACTATCTTCTTGGAGTCGAGCCGGCCTTGGAACAGGCCCTTGAGTGGGCGCTCGACCAGGACGAGGAGATCACAGCACAGCGGGTGCTGGAATCTTTCGGACCAGGGAGCGATCATGTCATAGACGGCGTCGTTGGACTCAATTTGCAGGTGAAGACGGTCTTGAGCAACCTCACAGAAGGTGAAGGTTGGACCATCGTACAGAACGCTGACAAGAACGGCCTAGAGGCGTGGAGGCGCCTGCACAGACGCTTCGACTCCCTGACTGGGGGGCGGCGCAGGAGCCTCTTACGAGCCATCCTGGCGCCGACCAGAGTCAAGATGGACGAGCTCGGCTCGGCCTTGCAGACCTGGGAGGAGATGGTGAGCCGTTACAACAAGAAGTCGTTGAAGCTTGGCGAACCGGCCATTGCTGACGACTTCCTGTGCTCAGCGTTGGAAGCCTTAGTGCCAGACGATTTGGAGAAGCACCTGCAACTGAACGCATCACGCCTCAAGAAGTACAACGACATGAGGCAAGAGGTGATGACGTACTACGAAACACGCACGGGCAAGCTGGTCAAGGTGACGCTGAGGGACCGCATGCCGCAGGCAGGAGGTCCAGGTCCAACCCCCATGGACGTTGACGCCGGATCGCTTGCGAAGGGCGGAAAAGGAAAAGGCAAGGGCAGCGCAGGCAAGGACGCGAAAGGAAGAGGCAAGGGAAAGCAGCAGCACCAGCCGCAGCAGCACCAGCCGCAGCACGGACAGCAGAAGTTCGAGGGCTACTGCGACAACTGCGGCAAGTACGGCCACAAGAAGAAGGACTGCTGGGCGCCCCCGCAGACAGGAGGAGGAAAAGGAAAGAGCAAGAAGAGCGGCAAGGGCAGCAGCAGGAAAGGGAAAGGAGCAGGAGCGCTAGACGAAGGAGGAGGAGAGGGAGAGAAGGAGCCAGAAGGAGAACAGGGAGGATTGGATATGGGTGCCATCGAGATCGCTGCCGTGAGCACGACCGACGGTTCCGAGTATGTCCGTTTCAACCTGGACAGCGGGGCTGCAGCGACGGCCTACCCTAGGGAGTGGTTCGCGGGTAGCTCCGCACCGATTCCCTCTCCAGATCACTCTGGACACATAACGGCGTCCGGAGAGCGCATCCAGGACTACGGAGGCGTTCGTCTGCACTGCAAGGACGAGAACGATGCCCGAAGGTGCATCACTGGTAGGAGGAGCGACGTGCGCAAGATATTGGCATCAGCGTCCCAAGTGTGCGAGAAGGGACGCCAGCTGATATGGTTAAGCGCAGACGGGGGGTACGTGATCCCCAAGGACGGCCGCATCGGGAAGATGCTGCAGAAGGAGCTCGATCGCCTGGTGAGGCGTTTCGGCGACGACTCGCTCCTGCCAGTGTACCAAGAGAGGGGCGTCTACAACTTCTACATGAAGGTGGAGCGCGCGGAAGACATCGCGCCGCTTGGCCTGTCGCCGGGTTTCCGGCGGCAGGGCCAATGCCCGTAAGGCCGTTGGAGGGTGAGCCGGGTGCGGGTGGCTCCGCCCCGGCCCCGGATGCGGGTAGCCCCGCTCCGGAACCCCCATTGCTTCGAGAAGGCGTTGGGGAGGAAGCACCGGATGTGAAAATCCGGATAGGGCCTCGAGCGCCGAGTGCGCAAGAGGTGGATGAGCACTACGGTATGGGACATGCTCAGTTCAGGTCTTGGTGCCGCCACTGCCAGGCAGCACGGGGCATCGGCGAACAGCACCGAGCCCGACAGGAGGACCCGGAAACAGCTGATCCTGTTGTGTGCTCTGACTACGGCTACCTGGCCGACGACGGCAGTGAGGACACAGCGTTGCCGATGCTGGTGATAAGGGATCGCCGTACCAAGGGGTATGCGGCGACGGCAGTGCCCCAGAAGGGAGTGCACCCGTACCCTGTGAAGTTCTTCGCGGGCTACTTGAAGGAGCTCGGTTGGAAGAGGTACGTGAGCCGGTCAGACGGCGAACGCAGCCTTGTAGCCTTGAAGCAGGCTGTGGCTGACCAGATGCAGGCAGTAGAGACTGTCATGCAGGAGTCTCCTGTAGGAGACCACGCAGCGAACGGTGAGGCTGAGAACGCGGTCAAGGAGGTGAAACGCATTGTGCGTGCGCAGAAGGAGACGTTCGAGGAGAGGATCGGTACGCGGCTACCGCTGCACCATCCGATTTGGACGTGGCTGCCACGACATGCTGCTGCGTGTCTCAGTAGATACCGCATCGGCGAGGACGGGAGGTCCGCCGAGCAAAGGCGCACAGGAAGGTTGGAATTCGGCGAACGGATTCACGTGAGGCTCGCGCAGGAGGAGCCGCGGAGCGGCATGACTCCTAAAATGATAGAGGGGTGGTACGTCGGCCACCAGACGCGGACTGGCAGTCTGCTGGTGATGACCACCAAGGGGGTTTTGCGAGGCAAGACCTACAATAAGATGACGGCGGAGGAACGCTGGAAACCCGCTGGGCTAGACCAGGCGCGTGGGACGCCTTGGGAAATGGAGCCCCCGGATGCGGTTAGCCCCGCTCCAGGGAGGCCCTTGCTGGCAGGCCGGGAGGCTGCCGGGTCGGCAAATCCGCCACTACCCCCTCAACCTGTAGCAGGAGGACGAGGAGGAGTAGGAGGAGGCGGAGGAGGAGTGCCAGGACCCAGGAAGCTCTACGTACTGGAGGCGGACGTGGAGCGATTCGGAGGGACACCGTTGTGTCCAGCGTGTCTGAACATCATGTGTGGCCTGCCGGCAGGGCGCGCGCACACAGCAGAGTGCTCTCAGCGGATGGCTAGCATGATGGAGGAGGACGACGTGGGCCGGCGTAGGCTGGACGCGCGCAGGGCGAAACGAGCCCGAGTAGAGGAACAGGAGCCTGCGGGAGGCTCCGCGGCTTCAGCGGCAGGCGCGCCACCCATGCCGCCGGCGGCAGCACAGGCGCCGCCACCGCCTGGCGACGAGCGGCCTCGCGGAAGGCCAGTTGCCGTCGCAACGGGCCAGGGGCTCGACGAGAGGTCGAGGAGCAGGTCGGCTGAAGGAGCTGGCCGGAGAACAGCAGACGACGACATGGAGGTGTCGTTGCCAGAAGGTGCAGCGGAAGCGGGTGGCTCCGCTCCGGCTGCGTCGTCAGGGTCTGGAGGCCCGGCTCCAGCGACAGGGGCCAGTGCTGCGTCTGCGGAGGTACCAGGCGCCGCGGCTGCGGGAGGCTCCGCGCCGGCGGCGACAGGAGGAGGAGACGTAGACATGAGCAGCATGACGACGATGACGAGGAAGGAGGAGTTGAGGAGCCTGTATCGGAGGAGCATCGTTTCCGCGTGTCGCCGGAACGAGGTTGACCTCTCGGCGGAGGAGCTGGAGGATATCACCCATCTAGGCTTGCAGCTGGGAGCCGTGGATGTCCGTGAAGAGTGCCCGCCTCCGTGCCATGTTGCGCTTTCGTGCCACTTGGGCTTGAGACCTGGGGTGAGCGCAGACATGCAGGCAGAGAGACCGAATGGGGGGCACTGGGACTTCAGGAAGGAGGAGGACAGGAAGGAGTGGTACGACACGCTGGAGCGCGAGGATCCGTACATCCTCATCGGATCACCTCCTTCCACGGCCCTTGCAGAGCTGCAGGGTGCATCCCGGCTCAGGCGGGACCCGGAGAAGGCCCTTCAAGAGCAAGATCTTGCAGAACGTCATCTTGAGGTGGCTTGTGAGAGCTACCGGAGGCAGATGGCTCGGGGCAGGTACTTCGTGCACGAGCACCCCCACGAAGACAGCAGCTGGGACTCGACTGTCGTCCAGGAGCTGCTGGGGCAGAACGCCGTGGAAAGGGTCAGAGGAGCTATGTGCAAGTGGGGCGCGAAGCCTGGTGCACAAGATCAGCCCCCTTCTGGCATGCAAGGGTTTATCCGGAGGCGAAACGGATTCATGACCAACTTGCCAGAGCTTGCGCTGGAGCTCAAGAAGGGGTGCCCCGGCGACGCGGGGCCAGAGCAGCACCAACATGTGATGCTGACAGGTGGTGTAGCTCGCAAGCCACAGGCGCATCCTCCGATGCTGGCGCGGTGCGTCCTACGAGCAGTAAAAGAATCCATGAAGAAGGATGGATCCCTCTCTGGCCTGGCGGCGGCTACGGCCGGTCCAGTGCCTACAGAGCCCGACGCCTACGAGCAGGGCAGATCGTTGTTGGAGGAGAGCGGGAGGTACTGGGACGACGTCAACGGAGGTTGGCTAGACCCCGCCATGGTGAGGAAGGCTAGGGAGGAGGAGGTAGGATGGCTCCGCCGACAGGAGGTGTACGAGAAGAGGACTCTTAAGTTGAGTGCCTGGAGGTGACAGGTGCGAAGCCAATCCGTTTGATGTGGCTCGACACCAACAAGGGCGACAACGAGCGACCGAACTACCGGTCTCGTATCGTCGTGCGCGAGAAGCGAGGTCAGGGAGAAGAAGGGCGCAAGTTGCCTGCAGCGTTGTTGTTTTCAGCAATGCCGCCTCTGGAAGCAGTAAAGATGCTAGGAGGCCTGATGGTGCAGAACAGGAGCAGCGAACGGGGTAAGCCTCTAGGGATGAGATTCTTCGACATCTCACGTGCCCATTTCTACGGCCTGGCCGAGAGGACGGTGTACGTGGAGCTGCCAGAGGAGGAGCAGGACGGCGTTCACTGTGCACTCTTGAAAAAGAGCATGTACGGCACCCAGGACGCGTCTGCCATCTGGCAGCGAGACTACACAGCAGTGCTCAAGCAGGACGGGCACGAGGCAGGGAAGGCGAACCCGGCCCTGTTCTACAAGAAGGTCGACGACTGTCGGTCTTTAGTGCACGGAGACGACTTCTGCGCCATGGGCGACGACGACGCCCTGGACCAGATCGAGCACACTTTGCGGAAGAAATACGACTTGAAGGTGACAGGTCGTTTCACGCTCGGTTCTGGAGAGGAGCAGGAGGTTGTTTTCTTAAACAGGATTTTACGTGTCACAGGAAGCCCAGGGGAGGAGCGTTTCGAGGTCGAAGCAGATCCGCGGCACGCAGAGATGATAGTTCGCGACATGGGCCTCGAAAAGGAATCCGCTAAGACACTAGATGTTCCTGGGCTGAAGAAGGAGGAGGCCGAAGCGGAGGAGCGGTTAGCCTCGCCCCCGCTTGTCGGCGACGACATCCGGTTGTACCGCAGTGTGACCATGCGAGCATCATACTTAGCACCAGATCGGGCTGACATTGGAGATGCAGTAAAGAATCTGGCTAAGCACATGCAGAGCCCGAAGCAGGTCGACATGGCCAGGCTCAAGAGGCTGGCAAGATACCTGAAAGGAAGACCCCGGGTGGTGCAGGTTCTCCGCAGGAACAAGCACATCGACAGGGGTAGTCCTTTGCCCATCCTGGTCATGGTGGACAGCGACAACGCTGGCGACAAGATCAGCCGACGGTCTACTGTCGGGCAGGTCGTTTTCGTCGGCGGCCAGGTGGTGAAGCACGCTTGCAACCTGTTGCAGGTGGTAGGACTTTCCTCCGGAGAGAACGAGTACTACGCCATCAGCGCCGGCGCCTGCACCGGATTAGGCATCCAAGGCTTGTTGGAGGACTGGCAGGTCCCATCTAAAGTCAAGGTGGTGTCGGACTCTTCCGCGGCGCGCGGCTTTGCTTCGCGCCGGGGCGTTGGGAAGCTCAAGCATGTTCAGACCCGCTACTTGTGGGTGCAGGAGAGGATCGTCATGCAGCACCTGGAATTGGGCAAGATCGGTACGGCCGAGAACCGGAGCGACCTATTGACTAAGCCATTGGGTCGTAAGGAGATCGACGTCCACATGAAGGGTATCAACCAGGAGTACAGGAGCGGCAGACCGGCGAAAGGGTTGCTCCTGAAATAGAGGAGCGGCACGACGCCGAAGCAGCAGGGACGCGGGTAGCCCCGCTCCCTCTGGAAGCAGCAGGGACGCGGGTAGCCCCGCTCCCTCGGGAAGCAGGTTGCCCTGCTCCCGGCGCCCCCCGGGCAGGAGAGCAGTCTGAGAGGAGTCGCGGGTAGCTCCGCACCCCCGCCTTGACGAGCAAGCTGGCTGCGGGCAGCCCCGCGCTAGCTACACTTTTCTGCGCAGTGGTGGTCGCGCTGGATCGCCACAGCTCCGCTACCGGTAGTCGTAGGAGGTAAAGACCTCTCTCGGCTGCTCGCACTGTGAGCCAACCCAAAGGGTTCTCTCGCAGTGAGGAGGGGTGAAGAAATCCCCCTCCGTCGGACTAGCTGTGGATAGGTATGTAGGTAGATGGATGTAGTAGTGCAGCATAGCAGTAGATAGCAGTAGAATGCAGGAGAGACCAGGGTAGTGTTGCATCGATTCATTGCTTATCTTCCACAGCCCCTTTCGGCGAAAAAGCATTTTCACTTAGAGAGGCAATACTCATTGATTTGTGCAAGGTTGTCTGCGAATGTCGTACGAGGTACCAAAGACTCACCACCAACGAGCCCGTCCCGTCCCCGTGCCGAGCAGCTTGGGTGACGGAAAGAGCGAGGTACGAGTGATGTGCGTTGTGTTGGGGCGAAGCCCTCTAGGGAGGGGTGCAAGGGAGGGGCGAGGCGCAGGTGATGCCGGGCAATGGCCGCCGGGGGGCCGTTTCCCCCGTCAAATGAAGCGGACCCCGGGCGGCTCCCATGGCCCGTTTCCTTATACTTTCTCGAATGACGTGGCCCGAGGGCCCCAAGACGGCCCACGATGGCCCCAAAACTGCCCAAGAGAGCACCAAAACAGCTCCAAGAGAACCTCAGATTGCATTCAGACGGCTGATGAAAGCCTCAAGACGGCTCCAAAGGCTTTCAGGATTCTGGAGGGGGCCCCCATGGGGCCAAAAACATGATATGGCTTGTTTAAAAGCTTTTTGGGGTTCTTGCCTTTTCGGACCAAGAACGGTCCAAAACGGCCCACGAGGCTCCAAAGATCGCCCCAAAACGGCCCAAGTGGCCCCCGAAAGGACCCGACAACGGTCCAAGAGGGCCCCAAGACCCCAAAACTCACCTAAAGGGTCCGAAGACGGCCCAAGAGGGCCCCAATACGGCCCGAGAGAGGGCCCAAGAGGGCCCAAAGAGGCTCCCAAGAGGGCCCCAAGAGGCCTCCAAGAGAGCCCCAAAACTGCCAAAGGCTTCCAAGACGCCCCTAGACTGCCCAAAAGGGCCCCAAGACGGCCTAGAATTTCCCCAAAAGGGCTCCCGAAGGGCTCCAAAAAGGCCCCACGAAGACCCCGACGAGGCCCAAGAGAAGCTCCAGAACACCATGGATCCCATCAGCGAGCGGTAAAGTAATAAGCTCTTGGCACCAAGGTTCCCAAGAGCGCAGTGACGTACAAAACTCGTCACACCAAGGCTCCCAAGAGCGAGCGGCAACGTAAAAGTCTCTGAACACCAGGGCTCCTGACTGAGCGCGGCGACGTAACAAGCTCTTCACACCAAGCTCCCAAGAGCGACGGGTGCCTTGCCGCGGCATCTTGGAGCCCAGAATTGCGAAGATGGATCAGGCGACTCCGGCCGGAGTACCTCGAGCGCACCACCATTGAGCCTTGAGCTGCGGGGATGCACCAAGCGAAATTGGCCAAACGACCTCGGTCGCGGCATGTCCGAGCCCAGAATTGCGAAAATGTATCAGGCAAAATTTGCCAAAACATCTGTAGTCAGGAGCGAATCGTAACCCAAAGATGAGAGGATGTCTCAGGCGAGTGGGACCGGACAACCTCGCGCGTCGCAACTTCGAGCCTAGAGTTGCGAGTATGTCTCGGGCGATTTGGGCCACATCACCTCAGGCCACAGCAGTTCTGAAACCAGAGTTGCGAGAATGTTTCAGGCGGAACGGGCCAGACCACCTCGCGCGCGACATCGTTGAGCCTGGAGCTGCGAGGATGTCTCAAGCGAAACGGGCTGGATCACTTTAGGTCAGAGTATCTTTGAGCCCGCGCGTGACATCGTGGAGCCCAAAATTGCGATGATGTCTCGAACAAAATAAGCCGGACCACTTCGCACGCGGCTTCTCGGAACCCAGAGTTTGGAGGACGTATCAGGCGAGCTTGGATGGGCCACCTCGCGCCTGCCATCTCGGATCTCAGAGTTGTAAGAACACCCTGGGCGAGTTGGGCTGGACCAGCGCGAGGATGTCCCAGGCGAATCGGGCCGGACCAACTCAGGTCAGAGCATCTCCGATCCCAGAGCTACGATGACGCTTGCGGTGAAAATGGGCCAGACTACCACGCGAAAAGGCATATTTGATCCGAGAGTTGCGAAGACGTTTCGGGCACACTGGGCTGGACCACATCGAACCAGGACATATCTGACCCTGGAATTTCAAGGATCCTCAAGATAGCTTTGCCGCTTTTCTTCGCGCGCGGCATCTAGGGTCCAAGAGTTGCAAAAATGTCTCACGCGAAATTCGCCAGACCACATCGCGCGCGGCATCTCGCAGAGTTGGGGGCATGTCCCAGGCGAGAGTGTCTGAAATAAGATTGGCCAGATCGCCTCGCGCGCGGCATGTCTGAGCCTAGAGTTGCGAGGATATCAAAGCGAAACGGGCTGGTCCTCCTCACGATAAAAGGCGCACCTGGACCCAGAATTGCGAATATGTCTCAAGCATAACAGACTGGACCAGCTCACACGAGGCATCTCCAATCCCAAAGTAGCTCAGGCGAAATGGGCCTGGCAACATTGGAACTGGCAACTCGGAATGCAGAGCTGCGATGACCTCTCAACGCAACGGAGCGCAGTGGGAAGTGATGCGACACCAATGCAACCCCCTGCGGTGTAAAGCAATGCCGCGCAATGCAATGTATCGCCCCCCCCCATGCATGCGCAATTCAGATAAACAGAGGGACAAAGGTGCCCATTAAGGCGGGATGCGGGATCCAAGGGAGGGAAGGAGCACGATGAGGAGCGGGAGGATGAGGATGAGCAGGAGGAGGAGGAGGAGGAGGAGGTGGACACGTTTTCCAGAGCTCATCATGCAACTTGGCATGAACTACAGCGCAATGCAATACCAGTCGCAGGAGACAGGGCTGGCAACAGGATCAGGGATATTGGAAGCGCACTTAGGAAAACAGAAGCTCACTTAGCAGGAACACGACTCAAACCCACGGTGACACCAGATGGCCTGGTGTACATCAACGTCGAATGGAACGGACTGCGCTTGGATGTGCTTCGCCTAGCCACCAAAACGTTTCGCATTGGCATCATCACCTGACTTGGAGCACAACTTTGAGAGTTGCAATGGATCGCAATGCTTACACCACTTGTAATGTACAAAGTTCTTTCGACAACCATACTCCGAACATGGCGGGGGAACCAACGTGCTTCCTCGCCCTGTCCTCGTCGTCGACCACTTGAACTCACCCCCACATGCATCCCCTTCTGCTCCTGCGTCGCACTTAACCACAGCTGGTAAGAGAAATCGCGAGGCCCTGAACTCCCCTCGCAAAAAAATCGTAGGTCCTTGCGCAACCTCCGGATTCGAGCCAAAATGGCTACGGAGCTTCGAGTTTCCTTCTTCATCCACATCCCGCGCTTCCCCTTCCCCCCTTCTTCTTCGCCTCCCCTCTTCCTCATCATGATCCCCTCACCGTACCACACATCACACAGCCGCATGTGTGCCACCGCGGCGCCAGATGGCAGCGCGAATCAGCATCCCTTGGGACCGGTGGCGCATGCGACCTCAAGCGGAGGATAGCGGAGGGACTGGAGGGAAGAGGACACCCTGAGATCCAACGACACGAGAAAAAAAGCAAGCATCGTAGTCAAACTTGACAGGAGCCCTAGACCCCAACTTTCGGCGCCACTTTTCTAGCTGGATTATGATAGTCCATGCCCCCGAAATCGGACGAAGAATCTCAAGGATCTCAAGGAGGGGAGAGGGCAGGAGGCGCTTTTCCTCGCCTTGCATGCCCTGTCTACATCACGGCTGCGATGGCCGCCCGCCTCAGGCGGTCCAGCTCGGCCGACTTGACCTGCAGGCTGCGTTCCAGCTGCTCGCTCTCGGTCAGAGGCGGCGGCGGATGCCGATCCCCCCTTCTCGGGAAGACGCCTACTACACACCCGCACCGATCCTGGCCAGCCCCTCCGAGACCCAAGATTCAATACGGCTTCGAGTCGCGAACAGACAGACAGTCCTGGCATGTGGTCCCGCCTGGCCACAACAGGCCCTCCGAGTAGCTAATTATTCCAGGTCGGTCACATCACCATGGCGCCGCCTCTGGCGGCGCCTGTGGCACGCGGAGCGAACCAGGATTGGTCTGTGAGACCGCCCTAGACTGTTCGGGGGGGCCTGTCAAGGCCAGCTGCGGGAGTACCTGCCTGGGCTGTCTGTGCGCACCCCGAAGCCTTCCTAGACCCAAGATCGATGTGCAACCTCGCCCTGGCCTTGCCACGGGCTAGTGGAGACATGCACACCGATTCTGAGTCCACCAGGGGAGCCGGAGGGGGGGAGACTTGGCTCATAGGTGGGAAAGATCCACCAGGAATCAGACATACATCGGCGATAGATCGGCGATAGGCACCGATCGGCGATGGATGGGGGTGATTCGGCGCGGTCCCCTGTGCCCCCCTTTGGTTGACGGCGCTCGCAAGTGTGTGGCGCGAGTGGGGCGGCCTTCAGAGGTAGTGGGGGGCCTCTCAGAAGGCAGAGGGCTCCATAGAAGCGTGGTGGGCTCCTATGAATGCCCCTGGCCTCCACAGAATCCCCCCAAGCTTCTTGGAAGGCCAACCTTCAAATAAGGAACCGACGAATTTCAGTATTGGTTTACACACAAATTGCTATTGTTCGACAGTCGAAAATATGGGAGACCACAAACCACAGAAAACAAGTTCCGTAGACATGACATACAT